CCCCCCCACACACACAAAAAAAAAATAGTGCAATGAGTATATCCGCTTTTACGCTCGCACACACATACACATGAAAAGGCAGAGGAGACATTCGTTTCCCCCTTTTTTTTTTTTCGTTGTCGCTGTGCTGCACTTTCAATGAATCTTTCTTTCTCCCCCACTACCTATGCCTGTGCACGCACTTCAATCCCACACATACATACGTGTAGTGGTTTTCTTTCTGGGTCCGAGAAGTCACACAATTGCTCCAATCCTCGTGCATTCCTCAGCCGCAGTTACCACTCGAGCGGTCTTTCAAATCTATCCGAGATTAACAGTATTCGCTCTTCCTTAGCAAACGCACAAGCAAAGACAATAATCGTAGCGTACTAGAACACGCGCGTAGCTGCAGAGGCGCCGAAGCGATTAGGGAAGGTACGCATCAAGGGGAAATTGGCTAGTACAGATATTCCCCCAAATCATCGCAGAGCAACAATGCCGGCCGAGGGAGTTGTTATGGATAAAATCATTGAAGGGGACGGCAAGACGCTCCCCCGTCCCGGCAGCGTCGTGACATTGGACTACATCGGCTGCTTAGAGGATGGCAGCAAGTTTGACTCGACACTCGAGCGTGGTAAACCCTTTGTGTTCCGTGTAGGCTGCGGTGAGGTGATCAAAGGCTGGGACGCCGGCATCGTTCAGATGTCGAAAGGTGAGCGCAGCAAGCTGACGATGCCGCCGTCTTTAGCCTATGGCAACTCTGGATTCCCCGGGCTGATCCCTCCAAACTCTACCATTGTGTTTGAGGTAACGCTGCTTGATGTGGCATAGAAATCGCAATTTTCTTTTGTGCAGCTTCCTTTTTAAGGAGTCGCGGGTCCTCAGAGAGAGGCTACAAAATAAATCGTTTTCAAAACGCCATGTCCTTTGCCTGTCTCAAGAAATGCGCGGCGGGAGCCGACACGCTTCGTCGCTCATTTAATATTGCCGTCTGCGACATCAAGCCTGCGCCTGTTCCTCTCCTTCACTTTTTTTTTGTTTTGGCTAGTTTTGAAAGTATAGCTGATGGTGCTTATGCTTCGCATATTTCCTATTGTTGCCAACCATTATTCCATCGCCAACTATTTGATGTACACAAACAAATGATGCCTGTTCTCAGAGTAAATTAGAAATGTAAGCAAGAAGAAGTTGCACTGACGGGGAGAGCCACCACCACGGCTAGCAGATGAACCGTGCTTCTTTTCGAAAAGGTACCTTGGAGGGCTCTTTTGTAAACGGAGGTAAAGGGTAGCGCGTATAGAATGTTTCTAAATCCACGTACTGCAGAGAAGATGCTTGTGACTATAGTGCTCCTGCGTGGTTTTGGCAACATCTGACGTGCGTTTACCTTTACAAACGCTCTTCTCCTCACCCGATGCCCCGAAGTCAGCTCTTGCTATGCAGCAATGCAGCCTCGTGAAAGCCGAAGCTGTGGATAAATGCATGCAGCCACCGATATCATCTCTGGGTTTTAATGCTCTTTCGGTGAGTTTTTTTTTTTTGATAGCGTGAACTTTCAGTTTGCATTCTTGATGTACACATCTTCAATGCCCACCTTCTTTCCTTTTTTCTTTCGCTCCCCCCACTGTTGCTTCTCGCGCTTGTTTTAATATGATGAAATTTCTCTTTTCTGGGGAGTATTCCTCCAACACAATGCAGGCAGTAGGACAGCGTCGTCCCTGGCTTTCAGTCCTCTCCGACTCCGGCTTATCGTGAACGCCCCTTCAGATAGTCTCTCCTTTTTTCTCAGTTCTTTTCCTGCTTTCATTCTTGTGTTTTCTTCATTGTACGTTGCCACGCGCAACTCCTTTTACCGCGATTCACTTACTCGAACATACACATTCAGCCAGAATCCTGTTCTTTTTTTTTTAATGCTAGCTGCTGATCAAAACAGCATGGCGGAGTTGCCGGTCTCACGCTACCGGCAACGCAACTCCGGCAAAACAGAAGTGCCGGACATGGCGCAGGAGGCGTCCGCGCCGCCCCCAGTTGCGCCGGTATTAAACGTGGACACCACCATCACGAAGTTTTCGTGGCTGAAAAACTTCCACTTTGGGCCACTCATGTCTGCTGCCGTTGTCGAGTTCATAGGTACGTTTCTGCTGGTGCTGACGGTGCCACTCACCTCAATTCAAAGAGCTGAGATGTCGCCGATTGCGGTGGGCTTCTTGCTCATGTCCCTCGTCTTCTCCTTTGGCTACCTCAGCGGCGGTCATGTAAATCCGATGGTCACCATCTCTGTCTGGCTGGCAACGTCGACCGGGGCTGGATACGCTGCTTTCAATAAGCGCCGCCTCATCATGTACGTCATCGCACAGATGGCCGGTGGAACAATGGCAGCCTTTTTCTGCATGATGATCAACGGCCGTGAGTTCCCCGTTCCCAGCATGGGACTCAGTTTTAATAGGATGGTGCGTGGCTTTCTCGCGGAGAGCGTCTTCACCTTTATCTTGTGCTCCGTCGTTCTTCACGTGGCCATCAGCCGTCAGCGCAACAACAACTTCTACGGCTTTGCCATCGGCTTAGCGGTGCTGTGCGGTGGCCTCGCGTGCTCTCCGGTCAGCGGTGGCGTGTTCAATCCGGCTGTGGCCACGCCGCTGATTGTTGTTCGTTGCTTCTTCTCTCTTAGCGCATCGGGGTGCACCCCGATGGCGTCACTGTGGGTGTACTGGGCTAGTGAGGTTGTAGGGGCCGTGTGTGCATCCATCATGTACTTGGCCTTGCAGAATGTCGGAGGCGAAGTTTGATCACCACCACAACGTAAGCCTCCGTACATCTGAGTTGCGCCTTAGTGTTTTCCGTTCGTTATGCTTGGATGATGCGAGAAGTATTGTGGTTTCCGTAACAAAGCAGCGCACATGTTCTCCCATCTTTCTCTCTCCTTCCCCAGTGATGTTGCTCAATTTAAATTACTTTAAAAGCTATTGACGTTGTTGTATTTCGTTTCTTGAGAAAAAAGAAACAAGAAGAGGAGTTCCGGAGATCCGTTGGCCGTAAAACTTTCTTTTCTTTTTTTGGCTGTGCGCTTCAATCCCTAATAGCCATACGAACGCATATCGACACCCTCGGCTCGCTTTGGTGTCCTTGTCGGACCCCCAGGAGCGCATTACATCCCCTAGCGAACATAGAAACCCAATAACGAGAACCTACAAGCACCCGCCCATCATGTTTGAGAACAGTTTTGACAGAAAGATCGTAGAACCAGGAAGGCTCCTAGAAAACAGAGCCTTCTCGTTATAAAGGCTACCACACATCCCATAACAAGGGATCCCCGCTACAATTCCGCATCTATTCAAAGCAGCGACAGATATAACATTCAGCTTTCACTGCAAACATAGAAACAACACCCCTCACTTATCAGCCCTCCTTCAGCCACTTCCTCTCTTCTCTACCCACACTCCACCATCAACTTGCAACTTTCCAAATCCCATCTACACAAGGAAACCCTCCATCCCCCACATAATTCAACAACCGCCTTGCCCGACAGCTCCAGTGGCGTTCAACGGTGGCGGTGGCCCACTTGCGACGGTCGTGTGGCTCACCGCCGACGGTGGGCTGAGCACGAGTGCTGGGCGGCTGCGGCGGGGAGCGCGTGCTGCGGTGCTGCCGTTGCTGCGTTTCGTGCGAGGGTGCTGTGTGTGTGTGTGTGTGTGGTGCGCGTGCATGATGAGAATCCAAGCTTAGGACACCTTTGGATGCGGCGCGTGCTGCAGGTGAAAATACCGAGTTTGTTGCATATCGATTCGTACTCTGACGTGACGCGCCGCGTGCCGCTGCATGCGCGTGCGGCTCTACCGGCTGCTCGAGCGACTGCGGGGCTGAGCGGTGCCCTGGCGTTCAACGGTGGCGGTGCTTCATTTTGTTTGAGTGGCTTTGGTGGTTTTTTGTTGCTTTACTTTCCTTTTGTGTGTGCTGAGGGTGAAAGGCGGTTGTAGCTGATAAAGTTGGTGTTGGCGTTGTCGTCGTGTGTTGACTATGTGATTGAAGGGTTGCGATTTCTCTCATGGACGTATTTATTTGTTATGCGGGGATGTTTTGGCGGCTGTTCTAGTCGTTAAATTATATGTATCTTTGTGTGAGATGTGTGGTGGTGTGTGTGTGGGTGTTCATTTGATGTTGTGTTGACCATTCTTAGGTGCCGGTGGGATGTAGGTTTTGAGACTCACTTCTTTGAGGCTCACCTTGTGGTGGGCTGTTATTGGTCTTAAGAAGAGGAGTGTACACACGTTAGTATTCGAGAATTTTTTTTTCTTAATCGCTCTTCCTCTTATTTGAGAGGGTGGGATTTCGGGCGTCGGGGAACTTGACGACGCCGCAGCTTGGGGTATGCGAGTTGTCGTTCGATGACCGATGAAAAATTTATTTAGTGAATTATGGTGGAGTGTGAGTGAATGTTTTAGAAAATGTTGCGTTGTTAGTTGTTGGTCGTCACTTGTGCTAACCGTTGTTCTAACTCTTCCTTTCTTTAACTCTTTTTTGTTAAACGGTAACTGTGCTCTGTGTGTTGTACGCTGTTGCTGTGGTGTTCACACGCACGTGCTCTTCGCATCGACTCCCCACAAGAGTTCACTGCATATCAGACAACTACCATTCGTATCTGCACCGCAAGAACTTCTCAGCTGTGCCCTTTCCTTTGTGTTCAACTGTTCTTTGTCAGGTTTCACGAGGCGAAGCGAAAATGGCTGCACTTACCGATGAGCAAATTCGCGAGGCCTTCAACCTCTTTGACGCGGACGGATCTGGCGCCATCGACGCAGAGGAGATGGCCTTAGCAATGAAGGGCCTCGGCTTTGGGGACCTGCCGCGCGACGAGGTGGAGCGCATCATCCGCTCCATGAACACTGACGCCAATGGGCTCGTGGAGTACAGCGAGTTTGAGAGCATGATCAAGTCCCGTATGGCGCAGAAGGACTCTCCGGAGGAGATTCTGAAGGCCTTCCAGCTCTTCGATCTGGATAAGAAAGGCAAGATCTCCTTTACGAACCTGAAGGAGGTAGCAAAGCTGCTCGGTGAGAACCCCGGTGATGACGTGCTGAAGGAGATGATTGCGGAGGCGGACGAGGACGGCGACGGCGAGGTTTCCTTTGAGGAGTTTAAGAGCGTCATGCTGCAAATGCGTGGTAAGTGAGCACAGCGAAGGTGGTACACATAGATATATTGATTTTGTCTATCGGGATGCGGGGAGACTCCTATAGCAGGTGTGAGGGCACCTGCCTGTTTTTCTTTCCCACCCTTTTTTGTTTTATAACTACATTAGAGCCATTGCTTGTGCTTGTCTTCTGTTCACTGTTGAGTGTTTCTGCCGTTCTCTGTTATCATTTTTTTTTTTTTTT